GTCCCCGGTTGCGGCGCCGGGCCGGGGGGTGGCGGGCGGCCCCTTTCCCCGAGCGCTCGCGGCCTCGCGGCGCGGGCAGGACTTGGGGAAAAAAACCCGATGGAAAGAAGCGCGGAAGAGCAGGGCTGTGCGCAAGCGAAGGGAGACACCCAGAAATTGTCAGATGGGGGAGCATCAGGACAAGGATTGTCCCTGCTCGTGGGCTGCCGCCGCTGCCGGCCGAGACCCAGAAGCGCCGTGCCTCGGCCGGAGCCGCCGCGCCGGAGCGGGAAGAGCGGGCTCCCTCGCTTCTGACACCCGCGTTGCGGTGCAAAGGCTGCTGCTGCAGGGGACGAATGCAAGACCTCGCCGGCACTGCGCCACGGTTGGCTTCCACGCTCCCGACCGGTTTTCTCCCAAGACGCTCTTTAAAAACACGGGCCGAGAGCAGCGTTCACGTAGTCACCTTAAGAGTGCTCAGAAAGTTCGTTCGCCTTTGCCCCTGACAAGGCGAGGACTCCCCGCCTGGGCTGGAACCGCCGGGACCTTGCGTTTACTTGCCGCTTAAATTCACAGACGGCAACAGGCTTAAAAGGCGGTACCTGGCAAACTGGGGCTAACTCGCACCTCCGTCCCGTTCGAGAGGTGACATTGCGAAGCACACAAGTGAAATGAGCCCTAAAACCCCGCACCAAAAAGCTATACCCAAACTCTTCGTGTTGTTGATCAGAGCCTAGATTATAGATTCCAACTTCCAAATACGCAGTAGACAAAAGGATTAAAACTACGTTACCTCAGGTTTTTTAAGTTGGTAATTAGTGAAGAGATACTGGCATGTGGCAGAAGTGAGATACATCATTGTGTGGGTGAGAGGGAAAGTACGAACATTTCACTGGTACTCGTTCAGGGTGATGAGACTAATTATTTTGTACTCTGCTGTCTGTCAGTTACGGGTAGCATCACCAGCTCACGTCAATGAAATCATGATGCCAACCTGTTTGAGCGCATTCACACAACACGAACGCACTGAGTTCCTGTGAGGCCAGTGGAAGTTCATTGACAGCAAGATTTGGCCTGACAGATAGATCTGATATTTCAGCCATTACCCTGAGGGCTGTAGCATCCCTCTTCCTTCTGTGTGTTTTGATACCTGATTTTGCATCTTCTGTGGCTCAAATGTGCTCCAACACCTGTTGAAGTTGACGCAAAGCCAGTGGCAACTGAGTCTACTGCCTTATTTATTGTATTTTGATGTGGAATTATGCAACTATTATTTACTACTTGCTTATAGTTAGACTACTATCAAGCTAGCAAAGTGTGATTTTTTGTGTGTATAAATAGCCCTTGCAAACCATAACACAGATATTGGAGCGTAATATAAACCCACAGCATGAATCATTCCTCTCTTGAGAAGTGCATGGAAAAGGAAGAGGCTACCAAGCCCTAACCAGAGTCGGCCCCATCTCACACACCATACAGCACAGGGGCAATTTTCCTCCCATTACATTCAGTCAGAGTCTCCCCTGGTTAAGGGCAATAGAAGAGTGCAAATGCGACCTTGAACTGATACCAGCTCTGAGCTGCTACTGAGTGAAGAGAAGATAACCCTAGGAAAGAAAAGGGTGATGGGAAATGAAGTTACCTGATGCTCCACGGAGTTTCTCTCGGCTGCTTTTCAATAGCTCTCCACAAATCCAGCCCTGTGTTTAGTGTCAGATCTCAAGTCTCCTCTCCAGAACACGCCGCTCTCAGGAAAGGAAAGGCACAACTAAAATACCAGGCAGCACTACTGCAGTTTCTACCACCGCAAGTGTTCAGGACAGGATGACAACCAAGCTGGTGACACCTGCTAGTCCAGCTCAGGTACAAAAGAGTGAGAAATACTTCTTTGGGGAGCATTTAAGACTCAGCTCCTCTCTCAGGTTTGAAGGAACTGAGCACGAGGTGATGCTATGCACCTTGAACTTACCTCTGCCTGTTTCCAGGGGCAGCTGCTGCTGCTGTGGGCGTTGCTCCATGCCCCAGGCAAGGCTGGGCCTCATCAGCTCTCCATGCTGGGGAAGTCCTGCTTCTGCCAAAGGGCTCAGGGCTCTGCTGTCTGTTCAGTCCGCCTGTGGGTGTTTAAAACCCACGAGTAAGCACTCGCCAAACCCATCAGGAACTGCAGCATTTTTCCATATCTGTATGTCAGAAACATCCACAAAACCTCAATGAAAATGAGACTACGTAATTTAATGGTACTGTAATATTTAATGTACCATCTGCATTAAATTTGGCTGAAGCATTTTTGCAGCCCAAGCCTTAGTCAGAACTGTGATGCAGTGAAATTTCCCCCATCTCTCTCCTCCCTTCCAGCAGAAAGCCTTCGCCTCCTTAAACAGCGCCTAGTTCCCTGCTGCTGACCCAAGGGCCCGCGTACCTCAGGTTTTCCCTGGCACTCTTCAGCTCTGCTCTTCTCTTCCCTCTAACTGCAGCTCCTTTTCAACACTGATCATACAGCCTCATTTATTTTCAATCACAGCTTCCTCTTTCTAAGTGAGTCCTTATAACACCATGAACTGACCATCAGGAGGTGACTGTAAAGCAGGAAACCCCCCAGCTTTTCCTTAGAGCCTTTTTCAATCCTGATTTAAAAGAAAATAAAATTAAAACCGAGGCGTCATGTATTCCTGTAATCGTCTCTGGGCTCCAGAGTAGCTGGACAAACAGGGTATCTCCCCCAGTTTTATGTCAAAACACACTATTTCCAATGCAGAACTTGACAGCCTTCCAGAGAAAACAACACGGGAGGACTGAAACAGGGTTAGGAATGAGAGCAGAGGAAAATGATACCCGGCCTAGATAAAACCAGAAGTATTGTCAGTCAGCAGGAGAGCAGGGACTCAAATATTTTTGGCAGGATACCCGAAGAGCGGGAGCGCAGGGCACGGGGGCAGACGGTGTGGGTTGTCTTCCCGACGCCTCGCAGGAGCGCAGACTTCTTGCTGCAGTCCTACTCCTCCAGACAGCGCTTTGAGATTCTCAGCTAAAAAGCTCTAAGTGCATCATATAAAATGTTTTTATTAGTCTATCAGGTGCACGATTATGAGATCTCATTTTATAGCCACAAATAGCCAATAATTACCTTAGCATCCCATTAGCCCTCGTCTTCAGCCAGACTGTTTGCTCGGGAATTTGTCCATATTCAAAAAGCAGGCCAATACCCCAACTTGGAGAAAGCAGTTTGGCACATTGCATTCAAGTCCATAAACTCCCAGTGTAGAGGTGGCTTAATTAGCAAGCTGCCCAGTTAATTTTTCATGGGGAGTACCGTGGCTGCTAACCTGCGGTTGAAAGCAGTGGCTGCAGGGCGAGCCCAGATGCTGCCCCTTCGGCTCTGCGGGTGCTGTAGCAGGTCAGCGCTTGCCCACCCCGTCACTGCCCACCCACCCCACTCCTGCTCACCCCATTACTGCTCCCCTCCTCCTAACATGCCCCCCGCACATTTTTCAGCTGCCGGCCCAACTGCTGCTTTCTCCCCCCGCCTCTCCTGCTCACAGATATTTCGTACGGGAGGAGCATTGCTGGCGTGCAGAGGCTACTCCAGCATTCATGCTGCCCGGCTGCATCGTGGCCTGAAGCTCAGGTGGCCACCGCAGGCCCCGGGCCAGTAGTGCCCTGCTGTGGGTCCGGGAGCTGGCGGAGGGCTGCGGGAAGAGCTGGGGAGCAACACCGCTGCAGGGGCAACAAGGGGAGCGCTGAGGCAGCCTGGAAAGGAGAAATGAAAAGAAGGGAGGAAAAAACCAGAGGAAAAAGGAGAAAAGAGTGGAGGAGGAAGGCGGCGAAAGAAACAGGCAGAACAAGGGGACGGGGGAAAACGAATAAATGGCAGAAAACAGAGGAAGCAAACTAATGGAGTTAAAATCCATCATTGGATTAGCGGAGAGGGGAAGAGCGATTCCTTGCAGCTCGGGAGGTGCTCAGCCACAGGAGGGGCGCAGGCGTGCTGCTGGGGGCCTGCTCCGAGCAGCAGCCTGTGCGGGGGGGTTGGAGGTGCCAGCTGGGGGGGGAGGAAAGCCCCTGCATCTTCAGAGTTAATAAAAAAAAGCTTTCAGACTTCAGCAGGCTGACTAAATTAGGCTGAATATAAAGGTGCTGTATTATTTCTCAATACGGCAGCGGTATGAAAGGACGCAATGGGTTTCTTTTGAAGCAGCTGCTGTGTAATCCAGGGCTTTCAGGTGTACTTCAACGAAACGCTCTCCTGGTTTCAGCAGGTTAACCTCATTAAAGGCTCCATCTACTGCTTTAATGTTCACTGAAATCCCACTGGGTGGGTACATTAGGCAGAAAAAACCCCCACAAGATGATTGCATGCTGCTGTTTGGCACAGTGAATGGACCTGGAAAGGGAAATGGAGGAGGGGAGGGGGCCACACAGTGACCCACACTGGAGAGGGCAGATCTTGAACCACTGTAACACGCCAGCGGGCCTTGACCTTTGCTAACGGCAGCAGAAGCCACTGCAGCAAAACCCCAAGTCTGCAGGGAGCCATCCCTCCTGACCCCATCTCCGTGAATAACCTGATAGGTTCCTGCTTCGCTTCGGAATCTTCCCTCTCCATGCAGCCACTGGTGCTGGCCCCCAGCTTGTGAGGAAGGTGCCGATCCCCCACAGCTTCTCCTCACCTGCAAAGAGGAGACCATGGAGCTGTAAAGGCCATCTGTCCCTCCAACAGACCCTGGCAATTCTATTGGCTTTGCTATCGAGGGCTTTGAATTGGGCTTGAGTTTCTTACCCCACTGTAACTGTAGGGTGCGGTTAAGACTCTTGAAAAATCACATAACCTCTTGCTAGTGTGAGGTGACCTAAGCTCTGTGCG